CCACTACACATAAGGGGCATAACTGGCCGACCCCTCACAGTGTTCAAGAGAGAACTATCAACATCAGAGGCCCGAGACTGTTCAACACGCTTCCACTACACATAAGGGGCATAACTGGCCGACCCCTCACAGTGTTCAAGAGAGAACTATCAACATCAGAGGCCCGAGACTGTTCAACACGCTTCCACTACACATAAGGGACATAACTGGCCGACCCCTCACAGTGTTCAAGAGAGAACTATCAACATCAGAGGCCCGAGACTGTTCAACACGCTTCCACTACACATAAGGGGCATAACTGGCCGACCCCTCACAGTGTTCAAGAGAGAACTGGATAAGCACCTCCAAAGGATACCTGATCAACCAGGCTGTGACTCATACTTCAGGCTGCGAGCAGCCGCGTCCAACAGCCTGGTTGATCAGTCTGGCAACCAGGAGGCCTGGTCGACGACCGGGCCGCGGGGACGTTAAGCCCCGGAAGCACCTCAAGGTAAGGTAACCTCAAGGTAAAGTAGCCCGTGCTACTTGGAGCTTGTTCCGAGTAGCTGAATCTATAACAACAACAACAACCTAGGATTGCTACTTGCCCCGCTCCTGTGCCAGGTAAGTTACGGGCTCACCATAGCCCGTGCTACTGGCCCCGCTCCTGTGCCAGGTAAGTTACGGGCTCACCATAGCCCGTGCTACTGGCCCCGCTCCTGTGCCAGGTAAGTTACGGGCTCACCATAGCCCGTGCTACTTGCCCCGCTCCTGTGCCAGGTAAGTTACGGGCTCACCATAGCCCGTGCTACTTGCCCCGCTCCTGTGCCAGGTAAGTTACGGGCTCACCATAGCCCGTGCTACTTGCCCCGCTCCTGTACCAGGTAAGTTACGGGCTCACCATAGCCCGTGCTACTTGCCCCGCTCCTGTGCCAGGTAAGTTACGGGCTCACCATAGCCCGTGCTACTTGCCCCGCTCCTGTGCCAGGTAAGTTACGGGCTCACCATAGCCCGTGCTACTTGCCCCGCTCCTGTGCCAGGTAAGTTACGGGCTCACCATAGCCCGTGCTACTTGCCCCGCTCCTGTGCCAGGTAAGTTACGGGCTCACCATAGCCCGTGCTACTTGCCCCGCTCCTGTGCCAGGTAAGTTACGGGCTCACCATAGCCCGTGCTACTTGCAACTTGTTCCGAGTAGCTGAATCTATAACAACCCAGGATTGAGCGTCAACATTTGCCAGTTTGTATACCATAGAAAAATAGGACTGGAAATAACCTCAGATGAAGAGAGGCAATCGTAACATGATGATCTAAATAGCCATTCAGAATGTACGAAAGATTGGCAGATACAGTTAAATGTTGGATATCGTGGCGTCCTGAGACTAGGTACGATGACAGAGATAACAGGTAGCAGCTGGAAAAATGTTGACACTGAAAAGCTTTAATGCGATAGATTGATTGATGAAGATTGAGCCAGCCAAGAGATGGCACGGGCATGAATAGCCCGTAAAATGCCAGAGAGATCTAGAATTTATGATCAGCAGAGAACCTTAACCCAAATATCAATCTATAGATATACGAAACAGAGCAAATAGGGTATTGGAATTTGTGTTTCTAGAAGCATTAACAACAGAATTTGTGTTTCTAGAAGCATTAACAACAGAATTTGTGTTTCTAGAAGCATTAACAACAGAATTTGTGTTTCTAGAAGCATTAACAACAGAATTTGTGTTTCTAGAAGCATTAACAACAGAATTTGTGTTTCTAGAAGCATTAACAACAGAATTTGTGTTTCTAGAAGCATTAACAACAGAATTTGTGTTTCTAGAAGCATTAACAACAGGACACATGATAATATTCCTCACTTTCACCTTGCTAGACAGATGCAGACGAGGAGTCACAATAACGTGGCTGAAGTATGTTGACCAGACCACACACTAGAAAGTGAAGGGACGACGACGTTTCAATTCGTCCTGGACCATTCTCAAGTCGATTGTGAGACTGGTTCTCAAGTCACAATCGACTTGAGAATGGTCCAGGAAGGACCGAAACGTCGTCTTTACCTTGTTAGTGTCCCATTTACATTATGCATTTTAGATTTGGTCTCCATAGTGCACAATGGACTTAACACCAGTTTAAAACGCGATGACAAGGATGACATGGTTAATCCCAGGGATTACAAGCCTCGTTACGAAGAGGGAAGATAATTTTCAGGGGAAAGCGCCAAGCCATTACAACTATACAGCACTTGGAAGGGATCAAGATAAGGATTTGGGATGGGACGGGGGAGAGGAATGGGGATAGAATATACAAGATAAACTTAACTCTCCAGCAAGAAGAAGAGAGAGAGAGAGAGAGAGAGAGAGAGAGAGAGAGAGAGAGAGAGAGAGAGAGAGAGAGAGAGAGAGAGAGAGAGAGAGAGAGAGAGAGAGAGAGAGAGAGAGAGAGAGATTACGGGCTATTCATGCCCGTGCCACCTCTTGGGTGGCTTAATCTTCATCAATCAATCCAGAGAGAGAGAGAGACGGAGAGAGGGAGGGGAGGGGACGTGAGAGAGTTCGTGGGTGAGAGTTATGGGACTGTGGGAGAGTACAATGGGAGATAAATCTCCCAGAGCCTCTGGGAGATGCCTGGCGGTGAAGATAAAGAAATAGCGAAGGCTCCCCTCCACAGCCTCCGTGTTCTCAGGTACACACACACTGTCTAAGCTATTTCAAAAGGTCAACATTGGCAGGGAAATGCGATAAGAGAAGAATATGAATAAGTCCACAAGGGCCGTGACGAGGATTCGAACCTACGTCCGAGAACATCCCAGACGCTGCCTTAATCGACTTGTTCTCGGACGTAGGTTCGAATCCTCGTCACGGCCCTTGTGGACTAGTTCATTGATGCATCACGCTATTGTGGTTTGTGTGTGTAAGACAAGAATATTCTTGCCGAGCAAAACTTTATTTCTTCCATTGAGGCTACCACCTTCCACGACACCTATCTACCTCTACTACTTCTACCTCTACTACTTCTACCTCTACTACTTCTACCTCTACTACTTCTACCCCTGCTACTTCTACCTCTACTACTTCTACCTCTACTACTTCTACCTCTATTACTTCTACTACTCCTACCTCTACTACTTCTACGCACAAGAAAGGTTAATTGAGAGTTGAGAGACGGGCTGAAAGAGCAGAGCTCAACCCCCACAAGCACAACTAGGCGAGTACAACAGGGAAATACGCCAAGAGTCATTAGACAACCAACGACTAAAAAAGCAGGATCCAAGAGCTAGAGCTCAATCCTGCAGGCACAAGTAGATGAGTACACGCACTCACAGTTCCCGCAACACTTAATACAGACATACTGGGAAGCACTAAGCTTAAAAACTCTCTCTCTTGCTATTAAATTCCTGAATAACTGGAAGAATTAGGATGTTGAGAGAGAGAGTGAGAGAGAGAGAGAGAGAGAGAGAGAGAGAGAGAGAGAGAGAGAGAGAGAGAGAGAGAGAGAGAGAGAGAGAGAGAGAGAGAGAGAGAGAGAGAGAGAGAGAGAGAGAAATCAACAGAAACATAGATGCAGAAAAGTCAAAATATTCACAAAAGGGATTTTTTTTTTGTAATCCAATACACGGAATTGCACTTACATAATTGCTTCATTAATGTATAAATGTATCTCTTCAGCGGAATGGCTCTCAGTGGTGGATAAAATATACATCATTCTTCATCCCCCTAATAACCTGATTGGGTTATTAGGAATGATGTTCCTTGACGTCCTCTTCAACCTGCATCCTATTGACTTCACCTTTCTTTCATTTCCATCTTGACTTATTTCCAGTGATTTCAATTGGGCCACATCCCACAGACTTTATATTGACTTCGTCTCCTTGACTTCCTGTCGATTTGATTTGACTTCAATTGAACTCAATATTGATGTATTTATATCTGCTGTCTCACCTTGATGTCATGTTGGGATGATTATCTTGACTTCATGTTAAATTGGATTAGGTTGGATTAATCCTTGTTGGATTAATCCTAATGTTGGGTTAATCCCTATCTGGGGTTATTCATCCTGTTTGTCTTACAGTTCTTGGCTTCATCTTGGCTTCAGCGAATTCATTTCTACTTTGTCGTAGAAGAAAGTATCTTTAATTTCAACTTAAATATGTCTACTTGACTTGAATTCCTCTGCTTGAATTTTCCTTTTTGTTTTGTTTAATTGGCTTCTTTTTTTTCGTTTGTATTCATCCATTTTTAGCATATTTTAACTTCACTATTGTGACGTAAGTTTGATCTAACATGACTTCCTCTTACTTCAAGAGCTTGACTTCTTGGCTATGCAGCCCGATTATTTTGACTTCAGTATTGGTTTCATCGTTATATTGACTTCAATTCATGGCTTCCACGATTTAATCCATGAGTCTGAAAATTAATATTCTGGGAAGCTTTCTGATGTATGTGTGTGTGTGTGTGTGTGTGTGTATGTGTGTGTGTGTACTCACCTAGTTGTATTCATCTAGTTGTGCTTGCGCGGGGGTTGAGCTCTGGCTCTTTGGTCCCGCCTCTCAACTGTCAATCAACTGATTAGATAAGGGTTCAATACCACACATTGTATATGGTGATCTAATCCCCTGAAATTCTAAAATTTCTCCCACCAATCCCCCCTGTTCTCTCTCTCTCTCTCTCCCTCTCCCTCTCTACTCTCCCACCCGTCATCTACCCATCTATAGCACCTATCTACCTATAGGTAGGTACCATCTACCTTTCACCTACCTTCAATACGAAGCTTGAACACGTTAGGGAAATGACACAGGCATTCCCTGGCACTCTCAAAGTAGTGCCAGGGCTAACACCTGTCTGTGTGGAGGGCACACGAAGGAGGGTAAAAAGGGAGGGAGGGAGAGAGGGAGGGAGAAAGGAGGGAGAAGGGAGGGGGAGGGAAGGAAGGGAGAAGGGAGGGAAGGGGATTCCAAGAAGTGATCGTAAGGGGGTTTGAATACATTATTAAAGCCTCTGGGAAGCGTTTCTCAAGTCGGTCACGACACTGTTGCTACTTGAGCAGCTGTTGCTACTTGAGCAGATGTTGCTACTTGAGCAGCTGTTGCTACTTGAGCAGCTGTTGCTACTTGAGCAGATGTTGCTACTTGAGCAGCTGTTGCTACTTGAGCAGCTGTTGCTACTTGAGCAGATGTTGCTACTTGAGCAGCTGTTGCTACTTGAGCAGCTGTTGCTACTTGAGCAGCTGTTGCTACTTGAGCAGATGTTGCTACTTGAGCAGATGTTGCTACTTGAGCAGCTGTTGCTACTTGAGCAGATGTTGCTACTTGAGCAGCTGTTGCTACTTGAGCCGCTGCTGCTACTTGAGCAGATGTTGCTACTTGAGCAGATGTTGCTACTTGAGCAGCTGTTGCTACTTGAGCAGATGTTGCTACTTGAGCAGCTGTTGCTACTTGAGCAGCTGTTGCTACTTGAGCAGATGTTGCTACTTGAGCAGCTGTTGCTACTTGAGCAGCTGTTGCTACTTGAGCAGCTGGTGCTCCTGCTGCTGTTACTGTTGCTGCTGCTGCTAACTCATAGTTCAGATCTGTAAAGGCAGATGACCCATGATAGGTCAGCTTGCAGATAATGCTAATGTGTGAGGTGGTATCTACTATCTGTATTTATTATCTGTGCCTACAGGATCACGCAGTTAGCTCTTGGGCCCCGACTTTCTAACCGTTGGTTGTCTAATGTATTGACGCCAGACCTATTTTTTTGTCTCTCATATCTACTATATATATTTCTCTGTCTCTCTCTCTCTCTCTCTCTCTCTCTCTCTCTCTCTCTCTCTCTCTCTCTCTCTCTCTCTCTCTCTCTCCTGATAAGAAAGGAGTAGTCTCGAAAAGGTGACTATCTCGAACTGTGAAGAGCACAGTGACTACACAGCGACTACACAACAGCCACTATGCCAATAAGAGAACCAAAGATAATATTAGTAACAATTTAGAATCCTCCACTAAATGACCCCAAACGGGAGAGTGATACACAACCATTAATATAATAGAGAGCAACTTCTGTCGCTTACAGACAGTTGATCAGAAGACACTTCAACCACGTGAAGATTGGGAATTAACTGGGTAGACAAGAACTAGTTAGCACGGGTGGTACAGGAACAAGGGAACACAGGTGGGAACTTTGTACCCAAATGAGCTACAGAGACGTAAGAAAGAATTATCTTGGTGTCAGAGTAGTTAACAAATGGAGTGTTTTAGGCAGTGATGTGGTGGAGGCTGACTCTATACACAGTTTCAAATGTTGATATGATAGAGCCCAGTAAGCTCAGGAAACTGTGCACTAGTCGATTGACAGTTGAGAGGCTGGTTGATTGATGGTTGAGCTCTGGCTCTTTGGTCCCGCCTTGTGTGTGCGTGTGTGTGATCCATTGACATTCGTAAACATACACTCTTCCAATCATCATTACAAATACCAAAAAAAAAAAACATTTTCACCAACCGACTCGTATAAACACACGACCAATTAATCCCCTGATGTGTATACAAAAAAAAAATATAAGACGAACATCCACTTTTTGTTATAAAATAAAACTTAAAATCACCTTAAAGATTTGCCTGAGTCAGAAAGAGCCAGACAGCCACAGACAGACAGACAGTCACAGACAGACAGACAGACAGCCTCCTGTCATCCCAGGGTCACCTATGCCGACACAAACACTGGAGACAATACCTAGCTTCCTGGAAGTGAAGAACCAGGTGCTCAACAGCTAATTAGGGAGACAAGGTGGGCAGAAATAGCCGGCAAGAATAGGCGAAGGACCAGAGAAATAGGGGAAGAATGGAAGAAGTAACAGAGAAATAGGGGAAGAATGGAAGAAGTAACAGAGAAATAGGGAAAAATAGGAGAAGTAACATAAAAATAGGGGAAAATAGCAGAAGTAACAGAAAAAATAGGGTGAGAATAGGAGAAAACAGAGAAATAGGGTGACAATAGGAGAAGTAACAGAGAGATAGGGGAAGAATAGGAGGAGCCGAGAAATAGGAGAGGAATAGGAGATTGAGCAGAGAAATAGGAGAGGAAAAGGAGAAGGAGCAGAGAGATAAGGAGGTGGATTGAAGATAAGTGGCAAGTGATGTAGAAAGTAGGACTCAAAAGAGAGGGGAAAGTGAGAGGGTGAGGAGACAGTGACGCTAAAAGTTGGGGAGGGAGAGAAAACGAAGGAAAGTGAGAGGGAAGAATGCAAGTGATATCGAGGGATGCAAGAGATATCGAGGGATGTAGGTGATATCGAAGGATGCAACTGATATCGAGGGATACAAGTGACAGTGCGAGATAGACAGTCTAAAGCAATAAGGAAAGAAGTTAGTGAGAGAGAGAGAGAGAGAGAGAGAGAGAGAGAGAGAGAGAGAGAGAGAGAGAGAGAGAGAGAGAGAGAGAGAGAGAGAGAGAGAGAGAGAGAGAGAGAGAGAGTGTGTCCTTGAACCCTGGGGTTGTTGACCGTGTGATTTTCCCGCTCACACCTACCCCCTCTCTCTCTCTCTCTCTCTTCCCCCAAGGCAGTAATATCACCTCGTTTGCTTTCTCTAAACCAGTTTTTAACTAATTTTGGAAACGTCTTACCTGGGAATCAGGTCGAGAAATATCCATTTGTAACAACGGTCACTCGTCTGTGATTAGCGCGTTAATGACCCAATTACCTTCGAGAAACAAGGGTAGTTTAAATGAGAATTTATTGCCAAATTTGAAGGACGATAGGGGGGGGAGGGGATCTAATGTTTATACATTAGTTTCTTGGTCTATTGCATTAGTTTCTAAGTCTATTGTATTTCTTGGTGATCCTGTTGCATTAGTTTCTATTTCTATTGTATTTCTTGGTGATCCTGTTGCATTAATTTCTAAATGTATTGTATTTCTTGGTGATCCTGTTGCATTAGTTTCTAAATCTATTGTATTTCTTGGTGATCCTGTTGCATTAGTTTCTAAATCTATTGTATTTCTTGGTGATCCTGTTGCATTAGTTTCTAGGCCTATTGCATGTGTTTCTAGGCCTACTGTATTAGTTGCAAGATCTTTTGTGTTAGTTTCTAGGCCTATTGCATAAGTTTCGAGGCCTACTGTATTAGTTGCAAGATATTTTATTACTTTATAGGCCTATTGCATGAGTTTCGAGGCCTATTGTATTAGTTGCAAGACGTGTTTGTATGAGTGGAGAACACGTTGGGCTTTTTTGAGTGCAAGGAAATCATTCTAGTGTTTTTGAACGTCCACTAGGCCAAGAAACCTGAGTAGAGAGTAAGTCATTCTCTCTGATTGGCCAGAATGTTAGGCTTTCTAAACCACCAGCAAATCGAGCTCTCTGATTGGCTGATTATTCTGAGCAAATCGAGCTCTCTGAATGGCTGATCAGCACATTATTCTGAGTGGCTAGCACGCTATGGTCTCTGACTGGCTAGCAAACCAGGGCCAGATTCTCGAAGCAGTTACGCAAGTACTTACGAACGTGTACATCTTTTCTCAATCTTTGATGCCTTTGGTTACATTTATTAAACAGTTTACAAGCATGAAAACTTGCCAATCAACTGTTGTTATTGTTATAAACAGCCTCCTAATGCTTCGGAGCTCATTAACTGTTTAATAATTGTAAACAAAGCCGGCAAAGATTGAGAAAAGATGTTCAGGTTCGTAAGTGCTTGCGTAACTTCTTCGTGAATCTAGCTCCAAGCCTTTAGAAAATGGGAAGAATTGACTTACCTGCACGGCTTTAAGGAAACTAGATTTGAGGAACCCCACACACACACACACACATTTCCCTATAGTAACAACCACTACAACCATTCCCACTTCTACTTTAACCACAACTACTACCATTAATGAAACTACTATTTGGAGGCGGAGGCGCTGACGTAAAAGCGAGGGAAAACGGTCCCAGGGGTGACTTATCTTTTTTCGTCATTAAGGCAGAAGGTATTCCTGGCGATTACGGCGCCATCTTGAATGACAAGAGGGAGGCAAATGAGTTCCTAGAAGCGCGTGAGAACAGTGGAGCGAATGTAATGGTGGACGGAGCTAATCCGAAAGGAACTGAGTACCGAGACGGGAAAGGTGGAAAAGGATAGAGATATGCGTGTAGGATAGATGTAGAGAGGGATAAGGGTGGTAGGGAATAGTGCATGAGATGGTGGGAGGGGAGAGAGAGAGAGAGAGAGAGAGAGAGAGAGAGAGAGAGAGAGAGAGAGAGAGAGAGAGAGAGAGAGAGAGAGAGAGAGAGAGAGAGAGAGAGAGAGAGAGAGACAGAGAGTCCTGCTAATAGCAAGTCGCATTTCGACGTATAGTCTGCCTAAGGCCAAAAAAAACCTCCTACTAGACAAATGGAAGCGGCTCGCGAAATTGACATACTGTCTCGTTTTCGGTTTGGGGTCCTCTGGTTAGGCTAGGATAAGGGCACTTTAGCACGACAATTTCTTGACGTTTGGAGCACCTTTTAGTAGGACGGGCTAGCTCTCTATCCTGCCTGCACCCCTCCCCCCCCCCCCACCACCACCGCCCTGTCCTCTCAATCCTATCCTAGCGATGCTCCCACTCTATCCAGCTACTCTCTACTCCCTATCCAATCCAGCTATCGTATCACCCACCCCTCCACCTCTACCCTATCCTATCTCTCCGTGCCGTAGGTGACCCGAACAGCCACGCTATCCCAGGCTGTTGCTATCCCCCCGAGGATGACCAGAGCAGGATAGCAGACAGCCAGAGACAAAGGTATACAGTGCAACTCACCATGAAATACGGCAGACATTTCCGTTGGGGGCGGTTGGCGCCGCCATCTTGGTCAGATTTTGAATTCCTGACTGTAGAGGGAAAACGGGAGAATTCTGGATGGTTTTTGTAGCGTTTGGGAGTCTCTCTCTCTCTCTCTCTCTCTCTGTCTGTCTGTCTGTCTGTCTGTCTGTCTGTCTGTCTGTCTGTCTCTCTCTCTCTCTCTGTCTCTCTGTCTCTCTGTCTCTCTGTCTCTCTGTCTCTCTCTCTCTCTCTCTCTCTCTCTCTCTCTCTCTCTCTCTCTCTCTCTCTCTCTCTCTATCTCTCTGTCTCTCTGTCTCTCTCTCTGTGTCTCTCTCTCTGTCTCTCTCTCTCTCTCTCTCTCTCTCTCTCTCTCTCTCTCTCTCTCTCTCTCTCTCTCTCTCTCTCTCTCTCTCTCTCTCTCGTGGATATTCGTGTGACGGGCTGCTAGCGTGTGTTTAATATGTATGCAAATTGAGAGCCCGGTTCCAGCAGTTGGTGTGAGGCGTCCGGTCCAATGTGGATAAATCCGGTGGATTTAAAGGAGGGCCCTCAAGGTGGGCCCTCAAGGTGGGCCCTTAAGGTGGCCCCTCAAGGTGGGCTCACAGGGTGGGCCCCACATCTCCCCTATAAAGCAACAAGAATCAACCCCTTAAACCATCAACCCATCACCCATTCAGACATCAATGTTGTAACACCTTCCATTTCTGTAACTACCGGATCAGCCTGGCTGTGATGGCCGAAGACAAGCAGCCTCACTGACCCAAGCAGCGGCAGAAGAACAACTCTCGATATCGTCAACAGGTAATCAACAGGAGTAGAGTAACGTGAGAGTTATACAATAACCAAACGCCAGAACAAACAGCTCGTTAGCGCCGCGCGTCACGGGGGACATCATATTCGGCACCGGAATACTGCCGGACCGTTTCGGGTTATTCATGCCCATGCCACCTCTTGGGTGGCTTAATCTTTATCAATCTACTGGACCGGTCGATCCAGCTGAACCGTTGACCGCTTTGAAGAACACGAGAACCGGTTCTGAGTGAAGCGATTAGCTCAAAATGAAGGTGATAATAATCGCTTCGCACTCACTCACCAGCTTCTAATCTCATCTGTTGTTCTTATAGATTAAGCTACTCGGAACAAGTTCCAAGTAGCACGGGCTATGGTGAGCCCGTAACTTACTTGGCACAGGAGCGGGGCAAGTAGCACGGGCTATGGTGAGCCCGTAGTGGACACTACCTGGCACGCTAATCTCATCGTGAGCCTCCATCATAATAATAATCTTTATGCCCGCCCCATACCCCAGACCTGTCCCCCTGCAAAGCTGAATGAGGCTAGCCTGACGCGTCTGCCCTCAGTCCTTGTACAGACATCAATCAACACATTCTCCATTATCTCTTGATATAGATAAGACTCTCAATACCTATCGTGAGGACCTGTAGTTGATATACAGGTTTCGGGGTTGATCTTGTGTGCCATAAACTTAACCAAACACTAATTACGACTTCATACAGACGAAATTGGCCTGTAGCGATAAACACATTTTCTGTAAATGGTAAAACTTTGCTTTAAAAATTTCCTATAACATTTAGAACTGTAAACTCAGCAGTTTTGAATACTTGTACCTAATATCAAAAGTGTTTAGCTGTTATAGACAACCTGTTACCTAGCAGTAAAATAGGTACCTGGGTGTTAGTCAGCTGTCACGGGCTGCTTCCTGGGGGTGGAGGCCTGGTCGAGGACCGGGCCGCGGGGACACTAAAGAAAAAAAGCCCCGAAATCATCTCAAGATAACCTCAAGATAAGAAGATAACCACTCCTCCACCAATCAACACAGCCGGCCCTTACAGACAACCCCCCCCCCATCACGACCACAGACAGGAAGACACACAACATTCCCAGCCACCCCTGGCCCTATAGCTCATGCCCCTTCGACGGGGACAAAGAGTGACCAACGAGCAACGGCTCACATGGTCTATATCAGTGCGTGAGAAGACGGGCATATGACCCTTAGTGACCCCCCTGGCTCATATGACCCTGGCTGACCCCCGCATCCTACCTGCATGAGATCATTCCGCTGTATAATATCAGTCAGTATTGACCGACTGGAAGGACTGTGTCATAGCGGAATCGAACTCGCATGCTTGATAAAGAGTCCAGCGACGTGAGTTCGAGTCTATTCCACACACATATGTTCTTCTCAAGGATGGAGGAGGAGTCTCCGTGGCCTCGGGGCGCTCCAAAACCTTGACAATGTGAGGGAAAATTAGATTCAGTTATTCCCGGTCATTTTAACCCAAAGAAATCTGTATAAAGTGGTGCCGACGGCTATTTTCACCCGGACCAAAATACTCGTCTCTGTGAATTAGAGCTGAGGCGATGATGGCGGCTCTCGGGGCAGGAAATACCCGACATTCCATGCCCGGGGGAATACTTAGCTGTCCCTTCATGCTACCCTGCCTTCCCTTGACCTGCCCTCCTGCCTTCCCTGACCTGCTCCTGCCTTCCCTGACCTGCTCCTGCCTTTTCTTGATCTGCTCCTGCCTTCCCTGACCTGCTCCTGCCTTCCCTTGACCTGCTCCTGCCTTTCTTGACCTGCTCCTGCCTTCCCTGACCTGCTCCTGCCTTCCTTGACCTGCTCCTGCCTTCACTGACCTGCTCCTGCCTTTTCTTGATCTGCTCCTGCCTTCCCTGACCTGCTCCTGCCTTCCCTTGACCTGCTCCTGCCTTTCTTGACCTGCTCCTGCCTTTCTTGACCTGCTCCTGCCTTTCTTGACCTGCTCCTGCCTTTCTTGACCTGCTCCTGCCTTCCCTGACCTGCTCCTGCCTTCCTTGACCTGCTCCTGCCTTCACTGACCTGCTCCTGCCTTTTCTTGATCTGCTCCTGCCTTCCCTGACCTGCTCCTGCCTTTCTTGACCTGCTCCTGCCTTCCCTGACCTGCTCCTGCCTTCCTTGACCTGCTCCTGCCTTCACTGACCTGCTCCTGCCTTTTCTTGATCTGCTCCTGCCTTCCCTGACCTGCTCCTGCCTTCCCTTGACCTGCTCCTGCCTTTCTTGACCTGCTCCTACCTTCCCTGACCTGCTCCTGCCTTCCTTGACCTGCTCCTGCCTTCACTGACCTACTCCTGCCTTCCTTGGCCTGCTCCTGCCTTTTCACCTGCTCCTGCCTAACACCTGCTCCTGCCTTCCCTGACCTGCTCCTGCCTTTTCTTGATCTGCTCCTGCCTTCCCTGACCTGCTCCTGCCTTCCCTTGACCTGCTCCTGCCTTCCTTGACCTGCTCCTGCCTTCCCTGACCTGCTCCTGCCTTCCTTGACCTGCTCCTGCCTTCACTGACCTGCTCCTGCCTTTTCTTGATCTGCTCCTGCCTTCCCTGACCTGCTCCTGCCTTCCCTTGACCTGCTCCTGCCTTTCTTGACCTGCTCCTGCCTTCCCTGACCTGCTCCTGCCTTCCTTGACCTGCTCCTGCCTTTCTTGACCAGCTCCTGCCTTCCCTGACCTGCTCCTGCCTTCCTTGACCTGCTCCTGCCTTCACTGACCTGCTCCTGCCTTTTCTTGATCTGCTCCTGCCTTCCCTGACCTGCTCCTGCCTTTCTTGACCTGCTCCTGCCTTCCCTGACCTGCTCCTGCCTTCCTTGACCTGCTCCTGCCTTCACTGACCTGCTCCTGCCTTTTCTTGATCTGCTCCTGCCTTCCCTGACCTGCTCCTGCCTTCCCTTGACCTGCTCCTGCCTTTCTTGACCTGCTCCTACCTTCCCTGACCTGCTCCTGCCTTCCTTGACCTGCTCCTGCCTTCACTGACCTACTCCTGCCTTCCTTGGCCTGCTCCTGCCTTTTCACCTGCTCCTGTCTAACACCTGCTCCTGCCATCCCTGACCTGCTCCTGCCTTTTCTTGATCTGCTCCTGCCTTCCCTGACCTGCTCCTGCCTTCCCTTGACCTGCTCCTGCCTTTCTTGACCTGCTCCTGCCTTCCCTGACCTGCTCCTGCCTTCCTTGACCTGCTCCTGCCTTCACTGACCTGCTCCTGCCTTTTCTTGATCTGCTCCTGCCTTCCCTGACCTGCTCCTGCCTTCCCTTGACCTGCTCCTGCCTTTCTTGACCTGCTCCTGCCTTCCCTGACCTGCTCCTGCCTTCCTTGACCTGCTCCTGCCTTTCTTGACCTGCTCCTGCCTTCCCTGACCTGCTCCTGCCTTCCTTGACCTGCTCCTGCCTTCACTGACCTGCTCCTGCCTTTTCTTGATCTGCTCCTGCCTTCCCTGACCTGCTCCTGCCTTTCTTGACCTGCTCCTGCCTTCCCTGACCTGCTCCTGCCTTCCCTGACCTGCTCCTGCCTTCCCTTGACCTGCTCCTGCCTTTCTTGACCTGCTCCTGCCTTCCCTGACCTGCTCCTGCCTTCCTTGACCTGCTCCTGCCTTCACTGACCTACTCCTGCCTTCCTTGGCCTGCTCCTGCCTTTTCACCTGCTCCTGCCTAACACCTGCATGCCAAGATGGCCGGCCAGGAGGAGGCCTAGAGAGAGAGTTTCAGTGAGGCAGCAGGTAGGTGTCTCTGGCACGCCCTTTCTTAAAGTGGTGAGAGAAAGTTTACAAATGAACTCTCTTAAGTTTAGCGTACACGTAGGCAGTGATGTGGTGGAGGCTGACTCCATACACAGTTTCAAGTGTAGATATGATAGAGCCCAATAGGCTCAGGAATCTGTACACCAGTTGATTGACGGTTGAGAGGCGGGACCAAAGAGCCAGAGCTCAACCCCCGCAAACACAACTAGGTGAATACAACACGGTGAATACACACACAGTAGTTTCAAAGCGTTATACGACAAAAAGTACTGGGAAGACGGGACACCACGAGCGTAGCTCTCATCCTGTAACTACACTTAGGTAATTACACTTAGGGAATTACTCACACACACACAAACACACACACACACACACACACACACACACACACACACACACACACACACACACACACACACACACACACACACACACAGCAATAAACACAAACCATTCCCCTGTAGCCTCAGTTCTATTTTAACAATGACAGAATCCCGAAAAAAATCTACATCGACAAAATCCAACGATAAGGCTATTTTGATGCCCTTTTGTCAAGAGGAAAAGTCCCCGAGGCACCTGATAGACTGTGGCCTATTTAGTCGTCTCTGCCACACACACACACAGAAACCTGGAGATATAGCGAAGGGAAAATGGAAGCCTAATATATGAATTATGAAAGATCAGGCTATGTGTGGCCAAGAGAGAGAGAGAGAGAGAGAGAGAGAGAGAGAGAGAGAGAGAGAGAGAGAGAGAGCCACAACAAACGCTACTCTCACTAATCCTTCGACATCTGCTCTTCTAGGAACCTTCTCTCACCTGTCTCTGACTGTTTACCTCACTACCACCACTACCACCACCACTACCACCACCTACCACCACCTGCCACCACCACCACCACCTGCCACCACCACTATCTACTCCCACTTGATTCTTCCTAGCCTATCCAACCCCCGAGCCTATCGGGTCGAACTTGCACCCACCTATATGCACTTCCCTGCGACTCCGCATAGTAACCTACCTTCGTGCTCACCTATGTAACTTATGTACACTCCCCTGTGTAACCTATGTACACTCCCCTGTGTAACCTATGTACACTCCCCTGTGTAACCTATGTACACTCCCCTGTGTAACCTATGTACACTCCCCTATATAACCTATGTACACTCCCCTATATAACCTATGTACACTCCACTATATAACCTATGTACACTCCCCTATATAACCTATGTACACTCCCCTATATAACCTATGTACACTCCCCTATATAACCTATGTACACTCCCCTATATAACCTATGTACACTCCCCTATATAACCTATGTACACTCCCCTGTGTAACCTATGTACACTCCCCTATATAACCTATGTACACTCCCCTATATAACCTATGTACACTCCACTATATAACCTATGTACACTCCCCTATATAACCTATGTACACTCCACTATATAACCTATGTACACTCCCCTATATAACCTATGTACACTCCACTATATAACCTATGTACACTCCCCTATATAACCTATGTACACTCCCCTATATAACCTATGTACACTCCACTATATAACCTATGTACACTCCCCTATATAACCTATGTACACTCCCCTATATAACCTATGTACACTCCCCTATATAACCTATGTACACTCCCCTATATAACCTATGTACACTCCCCTATATAACCTGTGTACACTCCACTATATAACCTATGTACACTCCCCTATATAACCTATGTACACTCCCCTATATAACCTATGTACACTCCCCTATATAACCTATGTACACTCCCCTATGTAATCAATTACACTCACCTGCATCAACCAACAGCCATTGAAGTCAATACCCCGGACATCAACGTAAGTATCTTGAGGTTATCTTGAGATGATTTCGGGGCTTTAGTGTCCCCGCGGCCCGGTCCTCGACCAGGCCTCCACCCCCAGGAAGCAGCCCGTGACAGCTGACCAACTCCCAGGTACCTATTTACTGCTAGGTAACAGGGGCATTCAGGGTGAAAGAAACTTTGCCCATTTGTTTCTGCCTCGTGCGGGAATCGAACCCGCGCCACAGAATTAAGAGTCCTGCGCGCTATCCACCAGGCTACGAGGCCCCTTTACCAGGCTACGAGTACCTGACTCACCTCAAGAAATTATTTTAACAGGCGACTGATCTAAACAACTGACTCACCTGTAGAACCACATATACACACCTCTTATTAAAGCTTTTAAGTAAATGGTTTTGGACACGCTGTTATTGCCGAAGTGACGTCACACTGCGACGCAAAGCAAAGCCTTCATCAGAGCAAAGTAGAAAGAGATCTTCATTCTACTTTGCTCTGATGAAGGCGAATTAGCCGAAAACGCGTTAGGCATTCTCTATTTTTCACTCTATTCTGCATACTTGGATCAGTGTTTTTGTGATCATTGTTATATATATATATATATAATATATATATATATATATATATATATATATATATATATATATATATATATATATATATATATATATATATATATATATAATGTCTAACCATCGCTCAAAACAATCGAAAGTTCAAATAAATTAACAAACCTTATTCCCAAACTAGTTCTTACCCCAAATCTTCTCAGTACTGATATATTCAGTGTGTATATGTATATATATATATATATATATATATATATATATATATATATATATATATATTATTTTTTTCCCCTTCCCTATATCCCCTTTGTTATCCGCTCTTATTATACCCCTTATTATACCACTTCATCCACTGATATACTTGTGTTATGTCAGGTATTGCTCTTCCAGGAAGATTAGACGTAACTAATCCTCCGGATTAATTACTGTTAATCATTAAAACAGTCAATTAAGTTGTTTAAATCTCCCTTCATATTGAACCACAATAACAACTTATAAAACAATAATAAAAAAAATTAAATATCTATTAAAAATATTAACACACTTATCAATAATATAACTAATCTTTCATATGATATAACTAATCTTTCATATGATATAACTAATCTTTCATATAATATAACTAATCTTTCATATAATATAACTAATCTTTCATATAATATAACTAATCTTTCATATAATATAACTAATCTTACAAATAAAAAAAACTAATCTTAAATAAAATAAAACTAATCTTACGAATAATATAATTAAAAAATAAAATCAAACTAATCTTACGAATAATATAATTAAAAAATTAAATAAAACTAATCTTACGAATAATATAATTAAAAAATTAAATAAAACTAATCTTACGAATAATATAATTAAAAAATAAAATCAAACTAATCTTACGAATAATATAATTAACCTTACAAATAATTTAAGTATCTTACAAATAATATAACTAATCCTACAAATAATAATAATAATAATAATAATAATAATAATACACAGAGAAATCACAGTAACGTGATTGCATCAATGACAAAATCTGTAGGAGCGGTGCTGAGTGATCGAGCCTATGTGTGCTGGGTATACTCCCCCAAGCACGCGCCTTAGACAATTAGGCAACGACACGGTCAAAAGAATTGCAACCTGGGAGTCTACTGAACCTACGAGGGTTTCTGAGGCTTCAAGGAACCCCAGGAATACCTGTCGCGATAATGACGCTGCCCCCCCTTTCCCCCCCCCCCCGGGGTATTAAGGATATTAGACAGAAGACCCCCTCGGGGGGGAGGGGGGGGGTGTTCTCGGAACACTAACCAGGGGGTCGAGCTCATTACAGTGGCTCCGTGGAGGGGCGGCGGATGGGTTCAACAGTCATGCTTGCTTAACTACTTCTCTTCCGATAATTGCCGCCTCAAGATAGCAGCGGCAGCGTTGCGCTATTCCCGCCTTACTTTGTGATAAGCTTTTCCTCGTAGGTCATATCAAGCGTATTAAAAAGAACAATTAAAGACACAAGAAACGCTGAAGATGTCTCTTGAAAGATTTCCTGAGAAAACAAGAGAAGATCAAGTATGTTTATTGAGATAAGCAATAAATACATAAAGAGAATTTCAGCGACTAGATTACGAGATAATTTCATTTTTACAGATTTTTTTACATTTTGTAATCGTTAAACATATCATATATCTATTTATTTGTTTGTATTTAGACGCCAAAGGAGTGAATAGTTCCCCAGTCCGCCAGCACTTCAATAATTCTGGAGAACCACTTCGATTGGCGGGTGTTGGGAGGTGTTATCAGAAGCACCAGAGGTTCTGAGGAGCCCTGAGCTTCTCAGACCCGACAGCGCTTCTTGATAAGATCTTGTGAAGGCTTAATCTCTTCCCAGGACAGATTAGCACGCCCTCTCGCGT